TTCAAGCTCCAAGACTCACCAAAAAAAAAAAAGTTATTAGGGTAAATACATATTATAGATGTGTGGTTTTTATTTTTTAACCTACATCTGTACTATTTCACATGAATTATCAGAAGCATTTTCATCTTACTAGATTAGAAAAGGTATGTTTCATATGCCTTTGGAACTTGTCTTGTTTTTCCACTAGCAACCCATATACTTGAATTACAAATTTTAATGAAACAATCATCATATAATATCCCTTGAAAACATCTTCATTAAGATAGTTCAGCCAGATTTAAATGTTTCTATCCTAATAAAAAGTTATTTTTATGTCTCTTGCCAAAGGAAACAAGCTACTATGCTTAAAAGAAAAAAATTACTTTCAGCATTTCAAGTGGGTTTAATAGAATTTCTAATACTGTAAGCCATATTCTTACAATTAGGATGACCTGTAACTAACTCATATTTTAGACAAAATATCCAGTTACTGTGGACAATTTCTTCCAAAATACTATTTTTACTTTTGCTTTACGCATTACATTTTTTTACTCAATGGCTGTAGTAAGTTCATTCTTTTTTCCTACAGTAAGGATATGTAATCAGACCTTTATAAATTATCTGGCCACCCCTAACATGGCAGTCTCTCTTTGCTTTTTGCAAATTTAGCTGAGCACATACACATGGAACCAAAAAGTATACTATTTGTGAAATTTTAAAATAGTTCAGGGTTATATTTAACATTTATGCTAAATTACTTATAAATTGATTACAGTGTATGTAACCACATAATTAAGTATCACTGGTAATTTTGGAAAAACAAACTACCAGAATCTGTAGCCAGTATGAACATCTCTGCAATATTTTTCAACTCTCTTTTCCCAGGTGTGACCAGAGAAATAAGTCTTGGGAATATAATTTGTTATACAATATATGAAACCAGAAGTTACTTCTACCCTTCCTACTACTGCTTTGTCAACAGTCCAACCCATTCACAAAATCTTGGGGATGAAAGTTGACTTTGAAGGTCACTTAGACCATATTGTCATTCAGTGTAGAATCTGTTTTCTAGTGGCTTTGGCCAAGGTGTTTTCTCCTGTTTAAGTGCTTCTTCCACACTGCTGAATCAAGATTTGCACTGGTATAATAGCCCAGCTGTGTAACCTGGGCCAAGTGATTGGGGCCTCATTTTCTCATTTGTAAAATAGGCATAATTATATCTTTTCCAGAGAACTGTCACTTGAATGAATTAATGGAAATGGCTAATATTTAGTAAGTGTTCTCAATATAAGTTTTCTAAGTGATTTTTGCATATCTTATTTTATAAGAAAAATTTGTGTCTGATGATTGGTTGGATGATTATATAAATTGCTATCACATTTAATCACTAATTACATCAGTAATATGAACAAAGTGGCATCTGGACTCATTTTTATATCTGAACAGTCTTTTTTATAGACACATTACATTTATTCATAAAGGTTTAGTAATAAGAAGTCAGTCTTAAATACAGGTTTGCATTGTATCTGGGGATTCAAATCTACAGAGATTTAAATACTGATATTCTACCAGTTAAATAATAGTATTTAAACAAAAATATGATTAATGTCTATGATGGCTCTTCATTGCATACCATTTGAGTAATTATAGTAGAATATAGATTGACAACTGATAGAACTGTTGGCAACTATTAAGAAGAAGGAAAGCTGGGCTGAAATGTGGCTTAGTGCCAGACTCCTGGCCTAGCACGCATGGAGCCCTGAGTTCTATTCCTCAGTACCACACACACAGAAATAGCTGGAAGTGGTGCTGTGGCTTAAGTAGTAGAGTGTTAGCCTTGAGCAAAAAGAAGCTCACGGACAGTGCCCAATCCCTGAGTTCAAGCCCCAGGGCTGGCAAAAAAAAAAAAAGGAAGGAAAGCTCAATAATCTGATGGCAAAATTGCCATTAGCAGAAGCAGCCTTAAAAAAAAAATCCAGGGAATCTTTGTATGTTTTAAAAAGTGAGCAATATGGGTGTCTTTGGAGGTAAAAACCAGGGGGATCATGGTTTAAGAACCAGCCTGGGCAAAAACAACCCCCTTTCAGGAAGCCTCCATCTCCATCTCCCCTAAGGGTTAGATGCTTGGTACTCATCTGCCATTCCAGGGAATGTGCTTCTCTAGGGACACAGAGGTGACATCAGTCCAGGTCAGCCTCGGCACAAACAAGACTCTCAACAAGTAACTAAGGCAACAGTGGCTGGTAGAGAAGCTCCTGTAGAATGCCTACCTGATGTGTAGGACCCTGAGTTCACATTCCAGGGCTCCCCTCCTCACAGAAAAAGGGGGGCGATGAGCAACGCTCTAGATGTTAGCTGATGCTGGCGAGAGATTTGGTTCGAATGTAACATGCAGATCTGAAGACACTCTACGTTCATTTAAAATGTTCAGACTGCCAGCACCAGTGGCTCACACCTATGATTCCAGCTACTCAGACAGATCTGAGGATCGCGGTTCAAAGCCAACCCAGACAGGAAAGTCTATGAGACTCTTAGTTCCCATTAACTACCAAAAAGCTGGAAGCGGAGCTCTGGCTCAACTGGTAGAGTGCTAGCCTTAGACAAAAAAAAGCTTAGAGGTAACTCTCAGGCCCTGAGTTCAATCTCCAGGAGCAGCAGGAGTGCATGCATGTGGATGGACACACACACACACACACACACACAATACTAGACTCATTTTTCTATGGCAGAAATCAATTCTGTGGTGATAACCTTTTACATTAGCTTCAGCTGAAAATTGTTCAGCATTTGACCAAATGCATTTTTGTCCACCTCTTATTCATCATGATGAGCTTGACCCTGCTGTTGTGAAGCACACTACCATTTTTACTCTTCTACACTACCATCTACACTACCATCTTTACTCTTCAATGTTAAGTTAATGTACTAGTTAGAAGTAGCCTAAATTTTAAAAAAAAAAATCGCTTGGTGCCAGTGGCTCATACCTGTAATCCTAGCTGTTCAAGATGGTGAGATCTGAGGATTACAGTTCAAAGCCAGTCTGAGCAAGAAAGACGGTGAGACTCTTATCTCCAATTAACTTTCAGAAAAGCAGAAGTGGTGCTGTAGATCAAGGTGGTAGATTGCTAGCCTTAAGCCAAAGCTCAGGGACAGCACCCAGGTCTTGAGTTCAAGCTGACAAAAAAAATCATGTAATCTCCCAACAAGATATAAGTCTATGTGTAACGAAGCACTGTTCACACTAGTTTAAAATGGAACTAGCCTAGTTCTCCTCCAGCTAATGAGTGGGTACAGAAAATAAAGTACATATATAGTATGCAGTATTAAGCAAGCATAAAATCCTGCCATTTACACCAGTATGCACGAAACAAGGTATCATTGAGGTATCATTGCGTGAAATGCTCTAGACATAGAAATATAACTGCTGTATGAGATGAGATAAGTGTGGTCTTAAAGAAGTTGAGCATGGAGTGGTCAAAAGCAGAGGCTGCAGAGTGGGCAGGCTGGAGCGATGGAGGAAGGTGTGATCAGTAGGAACTTAAGCTGCAGGAAGAGAGGATTAAGAAGTTCTGGTGTGCTGTTGCACAGTAGGGGGTTGGATCAACATAGTTCACTGTACATTGTAAAATACTAGGAGATTAATGTTCTTACCACAAATGATAAGTGCTTGAGGAGATATGTGTGACCTTCAAGAGTCACATCATATGAGGCTGGGGATGTGGCTTAGTGGTAGAGTGTTTGCCTAGCGTATGGAAAGCTCTAGGTTCCATTCCTAGTACCACATACAGGAAAAAGCTGGAAGTAGAGCTGTGGATCAGGTGGTACGCTGCTAGCCTTGAGCAAAAGAAGCTCGGGGACAGTGCCCCGGTCCTGAGTTCAAGCCCCAGGACTGTCAGATATATACATAATGCATAGAATATACATGTAACAAAATACCACATGGTATTCCATAAATGTGTACAGCTTTTATTGTTTTCATGTATCATTTGAAATGTGTGTGTGTGTGCGCGCGCGCGCATGCGCATGCACGTGTGCTTATACTAGGGCTTGAATTCAGAGCTGTGCACTGGCCTTTAGCATTTTCTGCCCAAGGCTGGTGCTCACCCTCATTTTTTTGCTAGCTAATTGAAGATAAGATACTTATGGAATTTCATTACCAGGCTGGCTTTGAACTTTAGTCTTCACATCTCAACCTCCAAAGTGGCTAGGATTATAGGCATAGGTCACAAGAGCCTAGCCAAAAATATTAATTTTTAAAAAAGGACAAAGAAGAAATAACTATAATCTATAAAACAAGAGAGGGTTCTGCTGCAGACATCACCGTAAGAATGATTTGCCCATTTGTCACTCAAAACATGCATCCAGAACTTTCTCTGTGACAGGTGTTCCAGGGATAGGTCAGTAAGTAGGACATAGTCTTCTGAGGACTTTACTGTTCAGCAAGAAATAGACATTTAAAGAGATAAACATAAATAAGATAATAGCATTTTGGGGATGGAAGAAATTACAATTTAATTTTGCTATTTTCTGATATAAGCCAATTTCATCAGTTATAAACAGTACTTTAATAGTACTTCTTCCCCAACAATTATTACTAAACAAATATATATAGGTGTATATATATTAAAAGAGGTGATGCTAACCGCCTGCCACTAGTGCTACAGATAGTTATACCCACAAGAACCCTTTAGAAGCTGAGCTGTCATCTGTTTACCTAAATTTTCTAAGTTGTTTACATCAATTCAATATTTAGGTAATATTCAAATAAGAATTTATGCAATTTAACTTTTCCAGTGTTTGGCATTGCATTAGTAATTGATAATCCCGGGAGACTTAGTTAATATGAATTTCTTTTTTTCTATTGATTTTTATATGAAATTATTCTAAATAGGTATATTTTTATGTCTCCTCTGACCCAAATGAAAGCTCTCAAAATCTTCTCTCATGAAATAAAAATATCTCTACCTAACACCATGGGAGTGAATTTAGACAATAACAGTTGACGTTTTTTTCCTTAATAGGAATATGATGAAGAATGGGCAAAGAAAATTCAGAGCGAAAAGTTTCGCTGGCATAATTCTCAGTGGCTGGAGATGGTCGAGAGCCGCCAGATGGACGAGAGTGAGCAGTACTTGTACGGTGATGACCGAATTGAGCCGTACATCCATGAAGGAGATATTCTGGAAAGACCCGACCTCTTCTACAACTCAGGTAAGGCAGCGCCAAGGCCAAAAGAAACAATTTGTGTGCTACAAATCAGCATTTAGCTATGCCAGCCTTGCACATTTCAAAAACGTGTAAGCACTTTTTTTGATGACTGATCTGCTATGTAACATCCATATACACCAAGAAAATCTAGTAACTTGTTATCTTTTCAAGTATGTCTTTGATATAATCACCATTTTAAAAAAATGGGTAGCTAGTCAAATTAGTGGTTCTTAGAAGTTTATGACTCTCTAGAACATAGATTCTAAATGAATGCTACCAAGATTTCTGACTGCTGTCAAAAATAAAATACTAATTTTTCTGACTGCTGTCCAAAATAAAATACTAATTTTTCTCCATTCTTATTAATAAATATATAATTCATTAATTTATATTTTATATTCTTAGGTACTTCACAGTTTAATTTTGGTATATTTTGCTTTAATAGCAAACTACTAAATTTTACTTAGTGACTAGTAGGACACTTTAGGTACTTCGGAGCAATGTCTCTCCCCCTTTATAAACTTTAGTGGTTTTCAAGGCAAAAATTAGTATTTGTCCAAACTTTTCATCATATACTATTACTTTGTTGATTATGCTGTACTGCCTTTCTCCAGGAATGGTAGATAGGTAAGATTTTGCACATTCTGACTTTTTTAGTGATCTCCGCTGCTACCAGTGTTACTATTACAGCAGTGAAGTCATTTAGTTGAGAAGAGAAAGGAAGGTAATTTTTTGAAACTCTGTGAGAATTTGGAAATAAAAAGTGTTATGGCTGGGGTATTGCTCATGACAATACCCAAACGACTCCAATTTCAATCACCAGCACAAATAAATACATACATACACACATAATATCCAAATTAATGGCTCATCTTTTTTTTCCTACTCTGTAGTCTTACTATATGTTTACTTTGTTCTCAATTCATGTTTTTCTCATTTTATCAGAATTTGTGTGTGATTAATAAATGGCTGATAATATAGTTTATCATCACATTTAACCACTACTAATTAGCATCATATCTAATCACTAATACTATTTGTCTATTCACATTTTCATGAATTTATATTGCACAGACTTCCTCAGCATACTCTGTATCCCTTTCATATTTTATATATATTCTCAAACTTTAGAAAATTGGTGCTACATTTTGAATATTGAATAGATTTCTTCCTAACTGAACGTTACAGCAGTTATGAAATGCTGCTTTGTGTTTCAAACCAGATGGAAAAGATCATTAATTTCAACCGACGAGAATTTCCAAGTTCAGTAATAGCAAGCAGCTGTTCTCAGATATCCAGTATTCATGAAGTAAAATGATGTAAAACATAGTGATGTGATTTTTTTTTTGTTTATAGGAATCAGAATATTCTTAGAATCAAGTTTCTTTCCTTGGAGATTGATAGCTATGTGTCAATATGAATCAATTCCATTTCCAAAATCAAAAGTGTCAGTTACCTCATGTTCAACTTTATTGTTTTAATGCATAGAAAATTTCAGAATGAATTTTTAAGTTGTATTACACTTCTAAAATTTGTTTTTATTAACCTCTTAAAGTAAACAAAAATCATAGTTTGTCTTAAAAGTTCTGTACCCTATTGATAACATTTATGTGACCATGAAAATATCATACTGTTTAGTTCTTATAGCAACTTGTCTAATATGTTTTTAGTTTATTCCTTTTTTTGTTTATTTCCATGAAGTTCATGGACTAAATAAAACGTGAGTCTCTGCAGTTTTATACGTAATGGGTAATAGCCCCTTTTCTTTCATCACATGTAGCTGTAGCTTGGAAATCCCAGATAAATATTTTAAACTGTTAGTTTGTTTGAGAGGTCTTGGGTCTCCATGAAACTTTAGAGCTGCTTCCTATAAAAACAAAGTTAGTAACAGAGGCCAAATTGATTCTTCTGAGTCTTTTACTTTAAAATGAAATGATATTTTCTGTCTCTTGATCATTAGAGCCGCCCTCTGTTTTCAAATGATTAGGTGTCAGTCAAAACATATGTTTCTCTCTTGCTTTTATAAGAATGTTAGAGTTATAAGACTGGTATCCCCTTTACTTAGTACTTTTTCCTTAGGCTCTAAAAGTGACTATAGTCATTGATTAATTTCCTTTGCTGTCATGAAAGTAAACCGCGTAGGTGCTTCCCACAAATAGAGAAAGAATATAGTGTAACTTACAGACAGTTTTACTGCTGCATATTTGACTTTTTATACAAAGGACTTTTTGCTTGTTTATATTCTTCATCAATCATGATTGATCTGTCTTATTCTTAGAATGTGAATATATTTCTAAAATACGAAGATTAAAACAATTTGTAAGAAGCATCATTTTGTGTTTCATGTTGTATCTTACCAAGAGTACCCTAGTAAGCTAACGTTCATCATTTTTTCTATGTTATTGTCATCCGTTTCCTTCCACAAATTCACAAGTCCAGTAGTCCAGTAATCCAATATAACAGTTACTAAGTTGTAAGTTTCACTTTTGTACATGATTTTTCTTTTTTTCTTTTTTTTTTGGGGGGGGGTCCAGTCATGGGGCCTGAATTCTGGGTGCTATCCCTCAACTCTTCAGCTCAAGGCTAGTGCTCTACCACTTGAGCCACAGCGCCACTTCCACCTTTTTTCTTATGTGGTGCTGAGGAATCGAACCCAGGGCCTCATGCATGCAAGGCAAGCACTCTACCACTGAGCCACCTTCCCAGCCCCTGTGCATGATTTTTCTTAGATAGTTTTTAACTGGCTTTTAGAAATCAATAGGTCAGGCCAGGCGCCGGTAGCTCACGCCTGTAATCCTAGCTACTTAGGAGGCTGAGATCTGAGGATCACGGTTCAAAGCCAGCCCGGGCAGGAGAGACCGTGAGACTCCTATCTCCAATAAACCACCAGAAAACCAGAAGTGGCGCTGTAGCTCAAGTGGTAGAGCGCTTGTCTTGAGCTGAAGAGCTGAGGGACAGCGCCCAGGCCCAGAGTTCAAGCCCCACGACCGACAAAAAAAAAAAAAGAAATCAAGAGGTCAGTCATTTATCTGCTTTGATTTTTATCACTGTTCCAGCATATACTCCATTTATTCATAACTGTATTTATCGTTGTACTTGGAACATCTTAGCAAAGTCTGTTACATAACTGCAAAACTGTTATCCTATATAATTTAATAACTATATATGTATGATACTCCAGAGTTAGGATGTTTTGTTGTATAGTATCTCCTTTTTTCTGTTTGTTCTGTGGTCACTTAAATGTATTTATTCATTGTAGCTGTACTAGCTGTGAGGAGAAACTTAAGAAGTACCCTACTATTAAATTTATTTGGGGTTTGTAATGGAGTTTGTGAGGACTGAGACCATAGCCCAGTGTTAGACTGCCTGCCTAGCCTGTATGAATCCCAGGCTTGAGCTCCAGCTTGTATGTCTAATTTTTAGTATTTACAAAAAGAAATCATTTTAATTGCTCAACATGAATAATCACATATTAACAAAGTAGTTGGAATGCTTTTGATGAGATGTTTCTATGAGAGTTTACTAGAACGTTAATCCCTAATTTGCCAAAGAGAAGAAGTTCCTATGTCAGAACTACCCAATTCTCACTAGCCCATAAGGTGTGCCACTGATACTATAAAACTAGACCCTGTGCAGTACCTGAGAACTTTAAAAATGTATTTCAGGGGCTGGGAAGGTGGCTCAGTGGTAGAGCGCTTGCCTTGCGTGCCTGAAGCCCTGGGTTCGATTCCCTAGCACCACATAAGAAAAAAGAAAAAAGCCAGAAGTGGCGCTGTGGCTCAAGTGGTAGAGCGCTAGCCTTGAGCTGAAGAGCTGAGGGACAGCGCCCAGGCCCAGAGTTCAGGCCCCCGCAACTGGACCCCCCAAAAAAAATGTATTTCAGAAATATATTTGTATTCCTTTTATTTATATAAGATCTGGATTATTGTGTTACAAGCTAATTGTATCTATCTTTATAAATTTTCTGGCTAAAACTTTGAAGTAAAAAAATTTAGTTTGAATGCTATTTTATGATATCCTAATTTCCTGTATTCTCACTTTTTAAAAAAATTTATTAGCATATGTAATTTATACAAGGAAGGTTTGTTTCATTGTGACATTTTCATATATAGATTTTGTTACTTTTTCTGTAAAGACAGCAGAAACTTTGGATTAAAAAACAAGAATTTGAGAATTTGATCCACTTTTAATTTCTTGTATATTTTACTGTTACAAGGTCACATTTCCTAACTATAAATTCAAAACCATGGTATAAGTTCTTCAGATGGTTTGTATACATCTGAAATACTGACTGCTAAGATCTTTTTTGCCACTGTGATCATCCTTGCATTCACTTTCAAAATGGTGTATGAATATTATTTTAACATTTTATTTAATGTTCTTTGTTCCTCCAAAATTGGCAGGATTCTCAAACCATCATGCTCAATTATAGGTTTTAATTTTACAAGGTGATTTATTGAAAATGTTTTATCTTGTAGTTGTTAATTATAGTGCCATGTCACAAACTCCTACAAACAAATAAAATTTATTTATTTATTTATTATTTATTTATAAATTGGTGCTTTATTGTCAGTCTGTGGTATCTTGGCATTTCCAACAGCTGCTGGTCTTTTGATTTACAGAATCTAATATCTAGTGAGCATAAAAACTGAACTAAATGTTACTAAAACTTCAATGAAAACTCAAGTATTTTAAATTTAGAAGAGTCACAAGATAAATGCCAAAAGCATCTATTAACAATTAAATAATATTCTAGTCCATTAATATATGATGTGTCACAAATGGATATATGTACCGAATGAGCAGTATGGAAGTCTTCTTTTTAAAATGAGCAGGATTAAAGTTTTTAGTAAATGAAGTTTTATACAAATGAAATTTTGTAAATGGACTAATTTGCCAACTCTGTTAACTTATTTGTATCAGACACTCTATTTTTTTAATACTCCCATTCTTCGGATTTTGCTATTTAAATTCTACCTATTCTTCCAAACTCAAATTAGTTATACTTTTTCTCCCTTGCCTTCTAAGAAGAACTTTCTAAACACTGCCATTTATTGGTACATATATATATATATATATGTATATATATACACTTCTTTTGTGTATTATTTATTAATAATTCATTGTACATATTTTATAAAAATTATTCAAAACATTTATGTATTATAATTCTATATTATACAAAATGTTATATATTTTCTATTGTGATGTGTTAGGTATGCAATAATGGTTTGGTGACTAAATCATTTGGTGAATAATTTGCCTTCCACGTGCCAAATTTTTAAATAATGTGATGGATATAACCTGGCCAATATTTGTATTTAGACACAACAACCCAGATCAGTTCAGAAGACATGGAAGTTCTCAGTGTCATCCAGATGGTTAAATAAAAGCTATATACCAAAGTGTCTGTTCCATGCATAGGACAGCCCTGAAGTGATCATAGATCTTTTTTTCCCTCAGACCCTTTTTATTAACTTATTTATGATTCTATAAAAATAAGTTATCTAGATTCTTAGATAAGAGCAAATTAGAAATAATGTAACTCTAAATTAGAGAAACAGTACCAGAGACTTAAATTTAGGAACAGAAGTACTTTATAATTTAAAAAAAAAAGAAACTAAAGCATAATGGTATGGACTCATTTAGTATGGGGAGTCCTAAAAGTAGGAGTATATAATAACTTAGATTTTAATGGAGATAAGTCATCAAAAAGTATTTAACTTTGTAGAATACACGATTTTTAAAACACATGGAATAAAATTTTACTTAGGTGAAATTTCACTGTATGTTTGTTAATGTTTAGTTTTTTGATCTATCTGACTGAAGGTTGCCTAGGTATAAAATATGAAGGCTACTCTCTACGTTCTGGCCCTCGCTGAAGGCCGCTCTCGGTTTGATAGGGTCGTTTCCTTGTTACTCCTTACAAATATACTTTACTAGTTATCACTTTATTTCTAGATGGATTAATTACCTCCGAAGGAGCCATAAGTCCAGACTTCTTCAGTGACTATCACCTTCAGAATGGAGATGTGGCTGGGCAGCATGCGTTTTCTGGCAGGTAAAGACTTCCAAGAAAAATCAGATGTATGGTGTTTCTTTTGTTTTTGAAAAGTTAAAATTCTCTTCATTCCCAATTTTTATATCCTTTCCGTTAAAGTGGAAAGGGACCCAGACTCTTCAAGAGCATGTTTGTTTGCTTTTAAGTTAATTCACAGTTCCATGCGAAAAATGGACATCACAGATCTGAACAGATTCTTTACCACTTTGGAAACACTGTTGAAACAGACTAGACCTTGGTGAGTTTGAATACAGGTTATTTCCTCGATGTTTTCAATTAAACATACACCAAGAACAAAGAGGCATAGTAAAAGAACTGTTCAAATGTCACTATGCAGAAAAGTTAATGCTTTAAATTGATGACTTTTCTGCTGTAGAGGGCATTCAAGTAAAGTATTTCAGGACAAATATCTGACAGGCCAGCGTTGTTGTGTAGTTAAAATATGGTTCCATTGCTACGGGCTGGTGGCTCACCTGTAATCCTAGCTATTCAGAAGACTAAGATCTGAGGATCGCAGTTCAAAGATGGTCTGGGCAGGACAGTCTGTGAGATTCTTATCCCCAGTTAACTACCAGAAAACTAGAAGTGGCACTGTGGCTCAAAGTGGTAGAGTGCTAGCCTTGAGCAAAAAAGCTGTTTGCAGCCCCTGAGTTCAACCCCATGACTGAAAAAAAAAAAAGATAAATAAAAAAATGCAGTTTCCTCCATGCTTCATTCCTCATAGAGTTAAAGACTTCTTAATTTGCCAAAAAATATAAACAGTATTTCCTCTTTATATTATACCTATTAGTATTTTAATTTAGGCTTGATAGTTGATATTTCATATTATCTAATATAATAGATATAATCTTTTCCTGAAGCTTACTTTTCTAATTCAAACTATTCTGCTTTTAAAATGCTATTTTTATTAGTATAAGCTATTTTCTGTTTAGGAGATCCATTCATTAATGTGTTTTTAAATGAATGATAAAATGTGATAAATGCAATTTAACCTTTAATGATCACTTTTAATAATTATTTAAATTCAATTGCAGTTATAATTTCTTCAACCATTATTGATTGTCTGTCAGATATAATGTGTTTTATATATTATCATCTCTTTAATTTTAATGTGTACAACAATGTTTTGTGTTTTGCTTTGTTGGTCATGGGGGCTGAACTCTGGGCCTGGACGCTGTCCCTCAGCTCTTCAGCTCAAGGCTAGCGCTCTACCACTTGAGCCACAGTGCCACTTCTGGCTCTTTTCTGCTTATGTGGTGCAAAGGAATCAAACCCAGGGCCTGGTGCATGCGAGGCAAATACTCTACCACTGAGCCCCCTTCACAGCCCCTACAACAATGTTTTAAATCAAGAATTATATCTCTTAGGGATGAAAAATCAAGGCTCTAAAATTTTAAGTTAGCCAGGTACCAGTGGCTTATGCCTGTAATTCTAGCTACTCAGGGGGCTAAGACCCAAGGATTGGAGTTCAAAGCCAGCCCACACAGGCCAGTCCATGAGACTCTTACCTCCAATTAACCACCAAAGCTGTGATGGAGCTGTGGCTCAAGTGGTAGAGCACTAGTCCCCAGGCCCTGAGTCTAAGCCCCAGAACCCACACAAGAAAAAAACCAAAGCAGTCAAGAAACATAAGTGTTATGATAGAAGTGTTATGATTTGAACTCAGATCTATAAGTCACCAAAGTTTATGGTTTTTCCAGTATAAAATGCTGGAAGAAACAAAAATATATGGTTGTGACTTGTAAGCTTATTTATCACTGACTATATTAAAAGAAGTGCTTTTTATTCTCCACATAGTGTACACATATATACTTTTTACATACATGTGTGTATGTGTACACTTGTGTATATGTCTATGTAGAAGAAAATTTTCTTTAAATGATACTCTTGCTATCTATAATGTACAGTGTTAGTTTGATTGCATTTTTAAATATGGATTTCAACTCATTAAGTTGATTTCACAATTCACTCAAGATCATGACCCAAAGTTTGAGAAAGTGATGGGAAAACATTAGGAGTATTAACTGAAATGTATAGCTCAGTCTCCTGTAGTGGCTTTTCAATTTAAAAAAAAAAAGCAAAACGCTCGATAAATAGTTTTATCAGTACAGTGAATCATCACTGTAAGACATTCTTGCCTCAAAAAATAAAAGCAAACTATGGTTGAAAACTAAAAACCATATGGCTTTTAATTGCTTCTGGTGTTTCTGGCTATATGGTGTAGTTACTTAGCTGTATATCATGCGATAATTCATTGTATAGTGTTTTCTGAAACAGTTGAAAAAAGAAAATATCAGAATTTTGCTTGTAGCATTTGTAAGATTATCCAGCCATTATAATTACTATGCTCTCACTTGATTTCACTGTGAACCAAACAGTGTTTTTACAAATCTTGTAAACATTTCCACCTAAAGAAAACAGACTGCTACTAACTACCTATGTGAAGGTTTGCTTTCTGTTTTCTTTGGAGAGAGAGTCGATAGCTCAGGCTGGTCTGGAACTCGCCCTTGGTCTCACACCGACAGTCTACTTCTCTAACCTCTCCAGGGCTGGGGTCAGAGTTGCGAACCAGCTCAGCTAGTTTCATGTCTTCAATATGAGTGTGTGAGTTTAAGGAAGCTGAACATTTCCACTGAAATCAAATGCAGCACTGGATATGGTGGCTCAGAACTCTAATCCCAGCAGTGGGGGGGGGGGGGGGCCTGAGGCAGGGTGGGTGAATTGGAGACCAACTTGGGATACATGGTAAGACTTTGTCTAAAACAATTAAAACTTAATACACATTTTTAAATACTATGCAAAATAATAATCTTGTAAACCCAATTCAGCAAAATCTTTTATTTCTAGTTTTTAAAAATGGTCATTTTAAGAATGACCATTCTGGGTCTGGGAAGGTGGCTCAGTGGTAGAGCACTTGCCTTGCATGCCTGAGGCCCTGGGTTCAATTCCTCAGCACCACATAAGCAAAATAAAAAAAGCTGGAAGTGGTGCTGTGGCTCAAGTGGTAGAGCGCTCGCCTTGAGCTGAAGAGCTGAGGGACAGCGCCCAGGCCCAGAGTTCAGGCCCCATGACTGGACCCAAAAAAAAAAAAAAAAAAAGAATGACCGTTCTTCCCAAATGATAAAAAAAAACGCTTGAAACACATAGGTTTAGTGACTGGGTTATTTTGAAGAGTCATTTGTTTCTGTTTCTGTTGATTATTTTCAATGAATTTGAGAAAACACTTTTACAAATTCTGTTTATTTCAAAGTTAAGAATATATAAGTAGCTTCTTATACTTTATAAAAGATACATGACAGTAATGCACACTTAAAAAGTTAGTTAATAAAAGATATTCTAGACTTTTTCAAATCAAGAGTGTGAAGTTCTACTTATTATTTTTTATGAGGGAATTTTTTTAAAGAGTACATCCTGCTAGGTGTCGGTGGCTTATACCTACAATCCTAGCTACTCAGGAGGCTGAGATTTGAAGATTGCAGTTGAAAGCCAGCCTACGCAAGAGAGTCCATGAAACTCTTATCTCCAATAAGCTACTCAAAACAGCTGTAAGTAGCTGGGTGCCGCTGACTCACACCTGTAATCCTAGATCTGGGGATCACAGTTCAAAGCCAGCCCAGGCAGGAAAAGTCCATGAGACTCTTATCTACAATAAACCACTCAGAAAACCAGAAGTGGGGCTGTGGCTCAAGTGGTAGAGCACCACCCTTGAGCTAAATTGCTGAGGAACGGGACCCAGGCCCAGAGTTCAAACCCCAGGACTGTTCTGAAAACAAACCAAAAAAAAAAAAAAAGCACCTCCCTTTGAGAAAGTGAAGTCTTTCATCTTTTGACTTTTATACTTTTTCAGGCCTTAAATCACATAACTTTCCTACTTTTTTATTTTCAGAAGAAGTAATATGCAATGAACTTCCCCAAACTTTTAGGTAATAAATCAAATGAAGTGAGATTCTACATTGTGTCTGTAGAGATACAGAGATACAGCTGGCGGTCTGCTTGTTCTTTTCCACATTTTGCTTTATTATTCTGGATTTGTTTCCCTTTTTATTTATTCCATTTTTTTAATATTTAGGATTCTCTCTTTACTGGGTTTTATATGATATTCTTGATACTCACCAATCATGGATTTTTAAGTTTGGCATATCTTTTTTTTTTTTGTCGGTCATGGGGCTTGAACTCTGGGCCTGGGCGTTGTCCCTCAGCTCTTCAACTCAAGGCGAGCGCTCTACCACTTGAACTACGGCGCCACTAAGTTTGACATATCTTTTAATTATGCAGAGATTTAAAGTATTTTAAATTGATACATAATTATTCACATTTTAGTATGACAGTGTTGCTGTATAATATGTCAGATATTTTAAACGGATGGTTGACTTGCAGCTTCTAAGATTCAATGGATAAATTCAGAGCTCATTAGATCAAATAAAATTGATTCAATACATTATTTTTTAATTTCTCCACTTTAACTGATTTTAAAATAGGAATATTTTTTCAGGAAATGTTCTTTTTTTATTTTTTGTATGCTTTTTATTGTAAAAATGCTGTACAGAGGGGTTACATTTGCATGAGCATTGTTAAATGGTAAGTTCTTTAAGCAAAAGTTGTTGAACTCTATTCTTTATCTCCACTTTGAAGATGAGAATAAGCAGACTAGATAGACACCATAAAAAATTAAGACTGTGAAAGAGTAAGTCTTAAACCGAATTTTAAATATTAAAAAACTGGTTGTCTAAATCCCTCTAAAACAAGAAAATGTTGTTCATGTGGAGGCTTTTTATGTGTATCTGTGTGTGTGTGTGTCTGTGTGTATGCAAGTATAATGTGTCATTGAAATCAGGGAAAATGGCCCAGATGATTTACAGATTCTTTCCCTGCTTTATCATATGTCTTTGATAACTAAGGCCTACCAGGTTGTCTGGGGAGCACAATAGCAGGTTACTGTATGAAAGGTGAAGCGCCACCACCACTGCTGTCTTCAGGGGTCTGACTGACAGCTGGATGTG